TATAAGCAACACACAAATAAGCAGATGACCAACACTACACCAACAGTGATTCCTATGACTATACCAGTAACAGAACGAGTGCGCGTGACACAACCGGAACCATCTCCACACGAATCGTAACCATTGCATACGAGTTGTTTGTCTATACACCGTGAATTGTCACACTCATGACCATAACTTGGACACGAACTCCTAAATGTTTTGGATCATAACATAATAGAATATATAAAATAACACATGGGTTTGTGGGTAACAACAAAAATATTAGCCCGAGGAAAATACTGTTACCCGAGGTGTTAGCCGAGGGTAACAGTGTTTTAACGAGGGGTGATATTTTTACTGTTACCTCACAAACCTATGTTTGTCATTTATTTTTATTACGCCGCCAAACAAATAACTGTTAAAATTTTAATTGATGATTTTATTTTATTTTCTTTAGAAAACAAGACCATGTGACCAGATTTTATATTATAACCCCTCACTTTTTTCGTAATGCTAATTTCCCATAGGGCTCTGTGAGTTATTTTTACTGTTAATGCAAGTGTACCACGTGACAAAGAATTTTGTACTGTTAACAGTATAAAATCTGATCACGTGGTCTATTTTCTAAATAAAATGAAATAAAATGGCCGCCATTTTTTCTCTATTCATTCTTATTTTCAACGTTAAACCCCGATAGGACATCAATTTCTTCTCTGGAGTAACTATGACTATAAAATTTAAGTGTTTGCAACCTGGTGTGCTTTTCGCGTATAAAATATCTTTTTTGTTGAATAGTCAAAAAGTGAACATCCGTTTTCAACGGAAGTAATTGGCAATGTAAATAATTATGTGTCAAACTGGAGTTAGCATTAAACGCAGTATGTCTGACTACTGCAAGCTTTGGAATCTTGAAGTAAATACAAATAAAACCAAAGTTATTTATATTTTGGAAAACCAAGAGAGGTTTGGCGTAACAATGCCTAACTTTTCCCCTATCCGAGGGGACTGTCCTTGAAAATTGTTTGAGGCATTTCTCATATTTAGGTGTCCAATTTTCATTTTTAATGGTAAATTCAGCAGAAACTTAAAAAACATTCCTTATTGATCAAGCCCCTAAAGCCATGTTTTCTTAATTTTAGGAAATCTAGGATACTTTTAATTTACCAATAGATATGCAATTACCACTTGTTTGATACAATGGTGCACCATTTTTGTTGTAGGGTGTGAAAAGGTTGGGGTGTTGAAAAAATGTGAGCCTTTTGTGGATTTAAAATTTCAATTTAAAAAAAACCCCAAAAAAAAATTCACCAAATTGAAACCCCCCCAAAATCCCCAAAGTTAATTTTTATAGGGATTGGGTATTTCCCCACCCCTTTTAACACCCCCCAAATTAAAAATGTTCTCAAATTTTTTGGGGTTAAAAAAGTTTAAAATTTAAACATTTATAAAATTTTTTATGAAAACTCATAAAATTTTTTCTCTGAATAAAATTTAAATTTAGATTGGGTCTGTTTTTTCGAAAAAAATTTTAAAAAGATCTTGGAAAATTTTTCCGGGATTTTTTGGGTAAATCAAAAAATGGAATCTCCCGCGTTTATTCAAGAAAACTGTAATTAAAATTGCGTTTATCAAATTTTATGCAAAAATTGGGAAGTACAATTTAAATAATTCCCAGTAACATGTCTAAATTACAGGATTTTTATAAAACAGGATTTTTGTTTTGAGCCATACCTCAGCAAGTTACCTATGAATTTAGCTTTTATTCTCTTTTAAATTTAGAAGTATGAATCACAAACTTCCTATTGAAAAAAGTAAGGTTTGATGATATTCCAAGAGAAACTTAGAACTTGTAAACTAATGTACCAGTAACTCTTTTAGGCCGACGAATTCCACTTATTCTTTTTGAATGTTCACAAATTTAGTTAATACAAGAACAACTGTATCTTGCATAAATATTTTCTATGAACGTCCAAGTGCTTTAAAATTTTGAAAAATTAATGAACCATTAGTAATAAAGATATCCTTTTGAAACTTGCCATATTTTTTGAAAAATATTATGTTATTATTTTAAATAATGTTAACATTATTAGAATTATGATATTTTCTCTTTGTTTTTTCTCGCAATGATTTTTGATTTTTCTCTCTCATCCTCCATTATCAGTCAATTATCACAGTAATTTTATTACACCATGGAGTTGTATGACCATTTATAATTTGCCATTTTGTAGTATTTCGTTTTTACATATTTTTTGCCATTTTGTATTATTTTGTATGTATGTACTGTTTTATGTTGTCACATGCCCATATGGGCCCTGACGTATTCAAATAAACCTTGAAACCTTGGAACATGCAGACGATTTAAGCATGCAACAAAGGGTTACTTTACAATTTTAATCAGTGAAACATTACAGATTTGGTGGACAGACATAGGATATCATCGTTATTTTGTCAAAAACCATGCTAAGAATATTCTGGAAACAGAAGGATCAGATTTCACAGATCATAACCGTGTAAATGGGTTAGTGTTTTGTTTTCTAAATAAAATCTAGCTTATTGTATTTTTATGATTTGTAGATATCTGTCACAATAGGGACTACGATGGGATACCAGGCCGACCACAATTGCTATCTAAAACAACCAACAACTCAGAACAGAAAAATATATACAAATTTATTTACAGAAATGAATATTTATAAATGAAAAATGATTGTATATGATAAACTGGTACTATGATAAGTCACTGCACAAACAAACACTCAAACGTATCTCAGTCTATTTCTCTCCCGTAAAGTTTCTGTCATGAATGTATCAATAAAGTGGTGGCGTTGTTAAACAAAATTCGTCACAATGGCGGGCGTCTTGTTATAAAATCTTATCAAAGCGTAACTGTACTTCCTACAGTGTTGGCACAGTTGATAGGATCCTGAACAAGGGCATGCGTCACCCTTTAGCCATGGACATATGTGTGGAGGGGCCCGTGTCATCTTCGGGTGTGTCCTCAAATAAGAAGCTACAAAGTATAAAACATGGTAAGTTCCATGATAATCAAACATAAGGGTATAATAAAGTCCCCTTGGAAAAGACTCGACCTTTGTCGGTTTTCAATAAAATAACGTGCTTCTTTAAATAAACAAAATGTCCACTATAGTACACCATACATTCCGTGGAACAAAAATTCAATCACATCCGCATAATACTGCGTTGCAAATATATTCAAATAACGCCAACATAATAACCACCAATAAATAAACGTCTTCCAAAATCATGCCACTGAGATCCTTCTCTAGAGATTACGTTAGTTTTGAATACGTTGTATTTACTTATAACAAAAACTGATGATAAATGAAATGAAGTAAGATGATAACGTAAATTAAATTTGATTGAAACAAATCATTACGATACTGCAGCATTTTACATAAAGTTACACAAATACGGTAGAACCATAATAAATTATTTATGAATAGATATATATATAGTATATCTATAAAATATTCATAGCTCCTATACAATTACAATATAATCAAAACTTCAATTAACATACATCAATTAACATGTCTCGGTATAAATTTGCAAATAGCGAAACACTAGAATAAAAGAGCTTTTAAAATTTAATCTGCAAAAATTTAGCAAACCAATAAATTTACTGCCAAATAACTAAACCTGAATCAAATAAAAACTATAATTCTAATAGAAAATAGTATTTACGAAATAGCAAAAATTTATGAAACAAAATCACTAGGGAAAATTAAATTTACCTTGTACAAGCTGTAATTTTATGACAAATATAATTTGTCTGTCACCGTCATAGTGACCTGTATAACGTCCAGTGCATTGGCAATATGTCACTTAAAAATTTAGTCAATATATAGCAAACTACTGAGTACTTGAGCGGGAAAACGAATCGTGCAAAACATGAAAAATCGATTTGCACGAAATAAAGCTGGGACGGCGGGAAAAAATAGTTATTGTGAAATAAAGGCCCGTCCTTCATATACAGACATAATACATATATCTGGTTCATAAAACAAAAATGTAACTTTCTTATTACTGAAAGGATTTTTGTGAAATAAACGGCAAAATGTTTAAATTGAGACATGGAAATTTATGCAAACCATAAAAATACTCTAAATAATAATTTCACCCGAAAACTCTAAATTAAACAAAAGATGATGCAATCTCACATCAATGAATATAGAGTAAAAATGAGGTTCGGCGTGAAAATATAATGCAATATTTTACAAACGTACTTTCACTTTGTGACAATATCATCACTTGCTTAAAGAATAAAAGAAAAAGAAAACTTCTCAAGTAGGCCTAAAGTACACTTAAAACTTAAAAGGTAAGGACAGTTTAGTAAGTGTTACTCTTGGTTTAATTTTGTTACAGTTAGATTTATTTGACAATTTCAGATCATCACAGTATTTTTGTTCGGGGTAATAAAATAAATAACACATGGGTTTGTTAGGAACAGTAAAAATATCATCCCTCGTAAAAATACTGTTACCCTCGGCTACGCCTCGGGTAACAGTATTTTCCTCGGGATGATATTTTTACTGTTACCCACAAACCTATGTGTTATTTATATACTGTTAAAATATCGCTGTTAGTTTAAACATATTTTATTCTCACATAAGCATATGAAAAATTACATACATGGTATTTACAATCAAAACAAGAAAAGGATTAAGACTGGAAGCAACCTAATGCTTATTGAAGTCTTTGACAACAATTTGTACCCTGTAACAGTAACAAATTTCTCGCCGTACACTTGCACTTAACAGTATATATTATTTTCCCAGTAAGCCTATGGGAAAATTAACAGTACACAAAAAGTGAGGGGTGATTATAAGAGATAATTAAGCACAATAAGTTTTGCAGGATTTTGCCTGAATTCTTTATACAGGATAAAAATTAAATTTTTTCAAGCCACCTTGTATGAAAATGGAAAGTTTTATCAACAGGACGTAGTTAAACTAAAGTATAATGTACATGTCATTTTTGATTGCAAACACCTAACACCTCATTGTAAATCATTTCTTTTATCACTATAGCACAAAAAATTTATACCTACCATTATAACCGAAACTTGTAATAACAATAGAGACCACATTAGAGATAATCTGGTATTTCACGGGAACATACTTTATTCGGATATATTGACTGTCAGCAGTAAATGCACCTTCTGGTTTTGACTTTCCGCAAACGTCGACTTCCAAGCCTTAGTTCAGAAATGTTAGATCACTTCTAGTTATTAACAGTAAAATTTTACCCCTTAGATGTAAGATTTTAATACGATCAAAACAGGAAAAAAACTCAAGAAAAATGATACAGCGTTTATGGCACGTGAGCACTTAAATAAAATTGAAATGTATATTGAATTATAAAATAGACCATAGTACAAGAAGTTTCGTATAGTTTATTAACTCAAATGTGCTGGTTTTGGGTTTTTTTTTTTGTTATTTTAACGTTATACATCTGCAGAGTTTATGATAAGAGCTATCTAATACTTTTAATAACAAAACTTGCCTGTTAAAAACAATAATGTTGAAAAGTTTTTTTTTCTTATTGGAAACCTTTAAAATGAAAATTGTTACCTTCAATCCTCGCATATGACCTTTCACCAGCGTAAAATTCAAGATGACCTTTATCACAGTCAAGGTTAATGTCCTCAAAATAGAACATTAATTTATTGAAGGATGTGTACCACCCTTTTACGGTTGTTTCACAGTAACCAAGCCTATCGTATGGGTGGTTGGGATTTCGTTTCTCAAATAGGTTGTTGTCAGTAAGTTGAAGCTGTGTTTGATATACGGTGTACGCGATGAAGCTGATTTCGTTGCTGCAATAGTCTTCCATACGAGCTGAAACAAAGTAAATAAAATAGAGAAAAACATAATCCTTAAAGAATGCCCAACACGGCAAAATTGAAAATATTGCAGGCTCGGTTTGATTGAGCCTGTTCATGGACGGTACTGGAAAGTGCAAGTTACCGTCCAAGCCCCCTAGCACCGGCTCAAGCAGATGTGTTAATATGACGGTTATTATGGAACCTTCAAACCGAGTCTGCAATTCTCTTGTAATTTTGTTGTGATTAATGGTTCCGAGGGAGCATTTTGCTTTCAGATTTTTTTCAATGTGACACGTTAGTGCCATTCCATGAAAAACGGCATATGGTCTTCAAGTAAAAGAATACGTGTGCCCTCAACCTAAACGAGAAAACACTGGGCGGAATTAAATAAAATTGAAATTTGAATAAAACCTATCTGTCGATTTTAAAACTATGGTTATGTTTAATCGAACTATAAATTAGTCTTTCATTTTTTTCACAATTAGTGTTGTGTGTGGTCAGGAAATTGAAGCTACAAGTCGATTATAAAATTTTGATGATGTTTAATCGTATTAGAAAAATGCCAGTGACTTTTGATGTAACGATATACGTTCTGTGTGGACAAAAGTTTTCAGGAAACAAAAGAATCAAAATTACCTGAATATTTGATACTTATATAAGCTCTATGAATGCTAAACACTAAGGAATATACGTACCTAAGTAGACAACACTAATCTTGATTACACCTATGAATAACAATGAGACATTCTCTGGTAGAAGTCACATGACCTACTATGTTGATACTCATTTCTTTTGCACATAGAAAAACATTCTTGTAAATGCATCCATATTATTTGAGCCACGTCATGACAAAACCAACATAATGGGTATGCGACCAGCATGGATCCAGACCAGCCTGCGCATCCGCGCAGTCTGATCAGGATCCATGTTGTTCGCTATCAGTTTCTCTTTGTAAGCGAACAGCATGGATCCTGATCAGACTGCGCGGGCTGGTCTGGATCCATGCTGGTCGCAAACCCACTATGTTGGTTTTGTCATGACGCGGCTCATTTATTAAATCTACATTTATTTTTATCCACGTTGTTTAATTATTATTAAGTTAACCTATCTACCTATTTTTTCTCTGTTACCAAACTCTTTGTTTAAGTCAACAATATACAACAAAACTAACTTTGCTTCAAGATACTCACTAAGTCAAGCAGATTAAAACCAGCACTTAGTAAAAACAAAATGTTAGGCTGAACAATTTAGATTTTAAATGGAGTCTGTTTTTGCTAATTTGTCTTAAGCTAATGATCATTTTTATATCTTCTTTACAAAAATATAGTATTAAAAATCAGTTAAATCAGTTAGAATGCATAATTTCTAATCATTTTTACTCATTTATATATTTACATTGATAGTGCAATACTCATGAGGAAATGGGTTACGAGGAAATGGTTTACGTGGAAATGGCTTTTCTATCTGCTCTGCACAATTTTGCTTTTTAAAGAAGAAGATTATGTAGATAATTAATGCCATAAGCAAGCTTAAGTCACGTATGATTACACTTTAGGAAATCATATTTTAGTTGTTTAAGTTGTCATTGGTATCAGCATAAACGTCGATTGAAGTGAATGACGTGACGTCATTTACGTTATATACAAACATAGCATAAACGCACGCTAATGTGAGCGTTACACTAAAGACGCGTAATTGAAATTAAAGATCCTGTATGTTGTGATTGAGGTTTTACACCACACTTAACTGAAATAATATATATGTATATACTTATGCTAATAAAACAATTTTCAAACATCAAAGAATATGTAAAATATGTACTGCAAATATTTGTTCACATTATATGTAATTATTGAAATATATGCATTCATTTTTTATTGGAAAATAATAACTTTATAGAAAATAATTTTTTTCTAATTACCTCCCTTTATTTACAGGAAATGTTAAATTCGGTAATATCGTTATAAATAATGCTTTTTTGGAACATAAAAAATTGATAAATCTTATTTGGACATCATATTTATGATATAAAACTATAAAAAAAACTGTGTTACAGGATCTTTAACAGTTTACTTTTTTTAACTATGTAATAAAAATAAAATTACATTCGTGTAGATTCAAAACTAAATTGATTGAACTGATTGAATAAAACAATTTATTTTATGCTTTTCAGTGGATTACTGATTTATCCGTGAAAATTATATTTGGTAATTTCACAGTGAAAATTATCAAAATATAATTTCACTCTTTTCAATGACGAAACTACTTTTTTAAGATTTTCCCCATGTGGTACCTCAATTTTATTTTTGCTGACAATTCTGACAATGTCAGGCTGTTTAAAGAAAAAGCAAAACTGAAATTGATTAATAACTTAAATGTCAAAAGTAATAAAAACTAAAAAGAAGAAAACTTACTTCTATTCATTCAAATTCATGAAATTCCAATCACCAAATTTCGTTTTTTTTGTTTCATTTTGACAGTCTAAAAAATACATTCCTTCCCCATGCAAAACTGCTCTTGATGACATTTGGGCATATTAAAGTATCCTACGAGCAATAACTGCCGTATGCTTTATGAAAAATTGAAAGCATTGACAGCCATAACTCGAAGAATAAGTTAAATCAACCCAGCGTTCTTGAGCAGGTTTCCAAGTTGAAGTTTTCCATTTTCCTAGCTCCTTTTCTGAATGTTTTCACATCTGTCAACACTTATTTTTTGTCTGTTACAATCCTCAAATAAGTTTTCTTTCTTTTAAAAATGTGTATGACTAACAAATCCAAATTATATCCCTCTGAATCTTACACAATTATTTTCCTCCCATGAAATACACAAGTTTAAAAAATGGCTGCCGCTTACAATTTACAAAGCCAGGTCTAATATAAATTCGCACTAAGTAACAGAAATATGGATGGATGGTTGGACTTTTTCTCCTACAAGAATTGTTTGTTTTTATTATCAAAACAAGCGATCATTCATATTTTTTTAATAAAATTAATAAATATCACCGTCATTTAATGTTGATTGGCGGACTTATTTTTCAGCTCAAGACTTCTTTTTTTTTTAATGAGAAATTCCAAATAAATGGGGCTCTCAATGGGGGAAACAGTTTTAATATTAACGTTAAAATTATGGAAATTTCGTTTTAACTTGTTTTTAAGCATAAAATAAAAAGAAAATTTGTCTGTTTGTTGTGTAAGATGTAATTTTATTTCATCTCGTGAACTTTAAAAACAGTATTCTCACTCGTGGCTTCGCCACTCGTGAGAATACTGTTTTTAAAGCCCACTCGATGAAATAAAATTTCATCTTACACACAAACAAACAAATATCCTCTATATTATTCAACTCGTTCAAAACAGTGGTATTAAACCTACGTTCATTGAATATTCTCTATATATAATAAGTATTGTACTTTGTGATCATATGTATATACATTCATAGTCAGGCAAATTGAAATCGAAAGTATATTACAATGATATAGCTTGATTTTAAACACTTCAATTGTCTTGTTTATACCATCATATAAGATTTAAATAAATGTATAAAAGCAAATAGACGATTTTTAACCAATTGTCTTAAACCTCTTAACTTTGAATGTTCGTTGCTTATAAACAATCAATGTTAATTGGTAAAAAAATAAATGACTCACTATAGCCCCATGATCCATCTAAAACGATCAACAGCGTTCCAAATATATGTATTTTGTATTTTTTAAACATCTCTTTTCATGAAATACACTAATAAAATAGCTTTCATTAACGCGCCATATTCGTACATAAACACCGATTTAAGTCACTGGTGTATACCTAAAATATTTTCATGTCATCTTACATTCAACGCAAACAGAAGTACGAAAAGGTTATAATATGCACTAATAAACAAATATAATACGGAGGGTAAGTTATTTAAATAGGGTATAGTTGCAAGTTTGTTGATACATTTTTACGGTGCAATATTACAAGAAAAGTTAATCACGAACAAAATGACGAGTGTTTAAAATTATGTAAACTTTTACAAAATTAGTTTTTGCTATTTTAAAAAAAACACCAAAATTAAGGAGACCAACTATAATTATCTTGGTTAATCTTGTGAGGGTTAATACCAGAGCCAAGATTAAGTAATGACTCTTATAGATAGTAAAAGCTTACCAATTGCAACAAAATTGTTTCTGTTATAGATTAGTAAACGAAACCGGGTTTAAATATACTATAGTATAACATTGAAAATATGCCTTATAGTCATTAACAAACAATCTTTTTTTTTAAATCATGATTGTCGCCAGATATCATCTCAATTAGAAAAAAAAAATAATGCTGAGCACTGTCCTAATAAGGAAGAAAAAATGATATACAATAGTGGGAAAGGAATAACTGTTCGTCACACAGCACAAATAAAAGTAATGTCTGTTTAAGGCTATGAATAGATAGCAGTTGTCAATGAAATCCATCAGGAAGGCTCGCTAGCACCGGCTTAAGTAGAATTTATATAAATTGCATACCTTCTTACCAAACAGTTTAACTACCATGTTTAAGTTGATAATAAAGATGTTTTTATTTATTGTATAATTCAAAATTACAGTAAATTTACAAAAAAATTGTGATACGTCAATAGATTAAATATTTAAATTTTAAATAAACAAAGGTCTTGATTTTTATTACCGTATAAACAGTATCATAATAAATTCATACATCAAAGCTCTTATATATCTGATTCTAGTAGATCGTTCAGCATGACATAGTTTGTGTTTGTGCTACAGATCAATCAACCCGAACCTGGAACAGTTTCAATTTTGCCGTTTTGGGCGTTCTTTAGCGATTCTGTTTATCTTTGTTAACTAGTATTAAGCGGACCACAGCACATACCGAAAATGTATAACCGAAATTTCTTTTACACAAAATAATGTTCGCCTAGCAACATATAACATGTATTTTTGTGTCAAAGAAATGTATTTTAAGAAACATGAATGAAAATATAATATATGCTTTTCTGTAGCGTCTGAATGCATTTTGTGTTGTTCATATTCAACAAACAATTGATCGGTTTCTACTCAAGCGACTTTTATATTAACATTTTATGTGCAAAATGTGTATAGTATAATCAATGTAAAGCTCGCCATGCGTTACGGAATATTTCGCGTGAAAACCAGTTGTCATAACGAGCATCATTTTATAAAATTGTTACCTTTATATGTAATGTTTTACCGGCCGCGTAGATGTGCTTTAAAGTATTTAAGCTAGCATATGCTACTGAGTTATGTTTAGCATCTTACAATTTTTTATAGCAATTTTACGTTTATATTATCGGTTTTTACTCATGAGAATTTATAAAAACATTTTCTGTACAAAAAATACAGAATTATAATATAAGCTATGCACGAATTATTACCTTAAACTCGTCACGCTTAACTGAAATGATTTCATCAGCAAGTGTAATTATTTTGTTTTGTGCCGATTCGCTGGTGGCGTTGATGTGTTTAGCGAAAGGATTTCTTTAAGGAAATACTCTAATAGCATGATTGTTATTTTCTGTGCTGTAAGCTTCCTATAGCAATATTAATTTTGCTTTTATGTTTTCAGTATTTATACATTTTCGTTTGTAAAATGTATAGGCTTTAAATGTTGAAAATTGAGTACCGTTTAAGCCGGCGCTAGGGAGCGTGAGGGATCTTGCACTTTTCCATTATTCCTTATGTAAAGACCCAATCAAACCAGGTCTGAAATTTTTATGTAATTTTGATTTGATTAATGCTTCCGGGTGATCACACTTATCCAGATTAATTAATAGATATGATAACGAGAATGATATCACATCTTCAACAGAACATTGATGTATTTCCTATCAATAACTACTGTAAAACGTTCGGGTTTGTGGCATTCCTTTACCAGTAGAAAATAAGGAAGATGACTTAATGGAATTTCACCAAGCATTGCTAGATTAAATAAATTATTTCTGTTATCACTACACATTAAAGCCTGGAAATTTACAATAAAAGGAGCCCTTGAAACCTTAAATTAATCACTGATCAATGTTAAGGAGGCTGATAAATGCTAATATAATGTACCTAAACAGGAAAAAAGAGTGTGTTCAGAAACCAGGAGTACACAAGCTTGCCTGATTCTGTCCCGCAGACATATGGAAATAGAAAAAAACGGGATCCCCTAAAGAATGCCCAAAACGGCAAAATTGAAATGCTGCCGGCTTGGTTTGTTTGAAGTCTATGGTCGGATTTAGATTTGAATTTAGATTTGTCTTTTTAATTTCCATATCTATCATTTTTATGTTAGAGTTTAGTCCTGTCTATTATTTTCAGTTTATAATTAAATGTTAACTTCCTTCCTTAATCACCAATGTGGCCTCTCCAGTTATAGTTCGGTGCCCTACTGGATATCCTACCTTGCCGTTGTGACTGGGTCAAATCGGGAACTTCACCTTACTTTGTTGATCTTTGTTCAAGTAGACAGCCTGGTAGGTTTGTTTGTTTGTTTCATTTTACGCCTTTTCCCAACAGTATTTCAGTCATGCAGGCGGGTAGTTTCCTAACCATCGTTCCTGGAGAGTTACACCAGTACTAGACTACCTTCCTCCGCGCTAAACTACCAAAGCATCTCGCGGGGATCGAACCCACGCCAGAGAGGTAACTGGATTAGAAGTCATCGACTCTAACCCCTCGACCACGGAGGCGGTCCAGCTTGGTAGTAACTCATACCTTTATCATGAAAGTACTGTAAGTAAATATAAACAGAATCCCTAAAGAACGTCTAAAACAACAAAATTGAAAATATTTTAGGCTCGGTTTGACTAAGCCTGTTCACGGAGATAGTGGTAATTTTCCAGGTATGGTTCACACCACAAGCACCGGCTTTAGCTGTATTCAATATTTAAATATATCATGGTGAAATTTTGAATATAAAAGCATCTGCAGTTTTTCATAAGGCATTTAACATTGAACCTTCAATGTGACACATCAGTGCCATTCCAAACGATAAATGGTTCCCAAGAAAAATAATGCTTGAAAGTAAGTCATATATTGAATGATAAATTCCTTGTTGTTTTACATTATATTTATTTATTTATTTATTTAAAAAATATGTGGGTAATATACCCATGAGTACATAGTAATAGACATATTTACAGAAACTAATGTCAAGGTCATTGTGCATATGTCATTTTCTATCATAAAATGTACATCAAATGTTAGTTAGAGAGAATAAAAAGCAAGTGTACAGCAAATGGTAACAATGGCACACATTTTACATACGGTATCAATTATATACATGTACATTGTTAATAATCAACCTTTGTTCTTTATTCAACATTTAACAAATTTACATAGATAAAATGTCTTACAACATTGTCGTTTTGTGATTTTAACAATTCAATCAATTAGTGCAAACTTGGTTATTTCCCTGTTCAAAACTTTAACTTATAAGTTGATTCCTTAAGTCATTGAGACATTCCAAAAATACATGAAATTCAGCAGATATATCATGTTCTTTCATTTAAAAGATTTACTTAGAGTTTTTGTCATCTATATGTTTCTACCTTTGATCTATGTGAAGTCGGTCTGAAGTGTAATAACGATTTCCTAAACCTTTCAATATTAACCATTGACATAGATTACTTCCAATCAAAATCACAAAATAATACACAATATTTCGTGCTTTTGATGAGTTTCTTAATTCTTTATATCAATTTTGTATAAATATATATATAAAATAATGCTTGTCCACACGGTATTTCAAAAGTCATATTAAAAGAACACCTACAGTAAAACAACAACTCCCTGATATGTAAAAATTTTAACAATTTTAGAGAAATGTCCTAAGTCAACTCCCTTGTTTGTCTTTGCACATTTAACACGTACCTATAACAGTGTTTCTAATAATGTTTATTATTTTTATAATCCACCTTTCTTTCAGACAAAGTCACTTTATCATCTGTATAAATACCCAAATCAATATCTTCTAATCAATTTAGTATGAATTATTTTTCTATATATCATTAAACATAGAGAAAATAACTATGTATTCATCATTGCTTTACCTTTTTTCCTATTTATAAGTGAAGGTGTATTAAAACCATAACTTTCGAAACAAAATGTGTTCCTTTTCACCGGATATTTTGCTACATTTTAAATTTATGGCACACAGCAATGATCAGACAAAATATTTGGGTCACCTACTTCAAATTGTACTCGTACTTTACAAAACCAGTTCAACATTAAACTTATTCTACTTCACTGGTGCCTCGTGTATTTACACATGTATGTTTACTTTTATCATTATCTTCACAACCTCTGTCATTTAATATTCTAACACCAGAGTAGCTTTACAAAACTCCGACAACAATTTTCCAAATTCATCCACAGTACAGTCTTTACATTTTCTAAACAATATTCTACCTTGTGTATTATCTTCATGCAAAACAAATCATGTAAAATATGATAAGATTCTGCAACCCGGTCTTACTTTTCCCAACATCATTGCATTATGATCCCCAGTCAATTAAATAAAATGATTGTGTATCATTTTCCATATTCTCAAAAATTCAACATATCATCTTACAATCAGTTTCCTTGAATTTGCGATAATTTCGTCATAAGAGGGAGGAGGGGCAGACAGATCAATGTCTCCACTCGTTTCTGGATGTGAATCATAAGATGTTTGGTGGTATTGAAAATTTGTCCCCTCCTTGAAGTCAATCATTGAGGCGCGATAATTGACTTGTTGGTCTATGTCTCGGTTTGCTACATCAGCTTGTGAATCAACTGGATAAGTTGTTGTGTTTGTGGGAAAAGTTGATCCCTGGTTCATCTCTATCATAGGCTGACAACTTGCCGCTTGGGATTCATATGTTACTGCTTGTGTAGTCGCAGCAGTGTTCTGCAAACATCAACATTCTAAATAATACCAATACCTTGAGTTTAATTCGTAATATTTAGTAACAAGAGGGCCATGATGGCCCTGAGGTCGCTCACCTATATATAGCCCCCCCCCCCAACCCCCACCTCCCCACCAATGTTGCAGGGCCAATTTAACCCAAGGGCTTTTATTTGCACAAACTTGGTAGGACACCCATAAGAAGATGTTTCATGCTAAACATCTAAGCTCTAGCTCATTGGGCTTTTTAAAAGAAGATTTTTTTAAAGTTTTTACTATACACATATACTATGTAGTTAAAAACAATGACACCCCTGGGGCCGGGCCAGTTTTGACCCCAGGGCTTTTATTTGAACAAACTTTGTAGACACTTACTAGAAGATGTTTCATGCTTAATATCTAAACTCTAGCTATTTGGGTTTTTTCAAAGAAGATTTTAAGTTTTTGCTATACACATATAAAGAAAATCAATGACCCCCGGGGCGGGGCCAATTTTGACCCCAGGTCTTTTATTTGAACAAACTTTGTAGACACTCACTAAAAGATGTTTCATGCTTAATATCTTAACTTTAGCTATTTGGGTTTTTTCAAAGAAGATTTTTTAAGTTTTTGCTATACACATATAAGGAAAATCAATGACCCCCGGGGCGGTGCCAATTTTGACCCCAGGGCTTTTATTTAAACAAACTTGGTAGACACCTATTAGAACATGTTTGATGTTAAATATCTTAGCCATAGCTCTTTGAGTTCTTTAGAAGAAGATTTTTTAAGTTTTTACTATATGCATATAGGGAAAATCAATGACCCCCCGGGGCGGGGCCAATTTTGACCCCAGGGCTTTTATTTGAACAAACTTGGTAGACACTTATTAGAACATGTTTCATGCTAAATATCTTAGCTCTAACTCTTTTGGTTCTTTAAAAGAAGATTTTTTAAGTTTTTACTATATGCATATAGGGAAAATTAATGACCCCCTGGGGCGGGGCCAATTTTGACCCAGGGGCTTTTATTTGAACAAACTTGGTAGACACCTATTAGAACATGTTTGATGCTCAATATCTTAGCCATAGCTCTTTGAGTTCTTTAAAAGAAGATTTTTTAAGTTTTTACAATATGCATATAGGGAAAATCAATGACCCCCGGGGTGGGGCCAATTTTGACCCCAGGGCTTTTATTTTAACAAACTTGGTAGACACCCATTAGAACATGTTTCATGCTAAATATCTTAGCTCTAGCTCTTTGGGTTCTTTAAAAGAAGATTTTTTAAGTTTTTACTATATGCATATAGGGAAAATCAATGACCCCTCGGGGCGGGGCCAATTTTGACCCCAGGGCTTTTAATTGAACAAACTTGGTAGACACTCACTAGAAGATGTTTCATGCCAAATATCTAAGCTCTAGCTCTTATGGTTTTTTAAAAGAAGATATTTAAAGTTTTTTCTTTCGGTTGCCATGGCAACCAGAGTTCTGCATGGAATTAAATTCTTTGAACAATTTTTAAAGGTGACTACCAAAGAAACATTCCTGTGAAGTTTGGATGAAATTGGCTTAGTGGTTTATGAGGAGATGTCATTTAAAGTAAAAGTTTACGGACGGACGACGGACGGACGACGGACGGACGGACGACGGACGGACGGACGGACGCCGGACGAAAAGCGATCACAAAAGCTCACCCTGTCACTTTGTGATAGGTGAGCTAAAAAGTAACATACATTTAAATATACTTTTACAGAAGAACATGAAACAAATTTAAAATTTCTATAAATATTCTGGTTGGTCAATTGAGACAATAATTAAATATCAAATAATATGTCGTAACATACATGAAGAAATGGATATGTATATGTTTAGGACAGCAGATAAAAATATTAATATTGGATAATCAAAACAATATGTTGTCAATTTAATTGTAGGAAGTGCCCGACTAATCTGTGCATAAACAGTATTCGGTCTTCAGGACTTAACGTATTGGAATAAATGGGACACAGTACACTCGTTCATATTAATTTTACAAACATGTATATAATAATTATGAGTATATGTTTGTACACATATTAAATTTAAATTAGTTGTACAAAATTACCCGCAATTAAAAAAACAGGAAATCGATGGTATATATACAACACATTTAATACATATGAGCCGCGTCACGACAAAACCAACATAATGGGTTTGCAGTCTGATCAGGATCCATGCTGTTCGCTATCAGTTTCTCTACTTGTTATAGGGTTGTAAGCGAACAGCATGGATCCTGATCAGACTGCGCGGATGTCGCAGTGGTTTTGGGTGTGAAAAATAAACTGTAGGGATTATAAGTTTAGTTTAAACATATTTATTGCCTTACACTCACCTATATACATCTACATTTCGCTTACAAACCCTATAACAAGTAGAGAAACTGAAAGCGAACAGCATGGATCCTGATCAGACTGCGCGGATGCGCAGGCTGGTCTGGATCCATGCTGGTCGCAAACCAATTATGTTGGTTTTGTCGGGACGCGGCTCATATCAGTATCAAGCGTCACACTTTTTGCGTACCTGCAATGTGCCGGCAGTATCTTTCCTGTGTATGAAACAACATACAAAAGACACAATAATGCTGATGATCAACAAAACACCAACAATGCCTCCTATGACTACACCAATCAATGCAGCACCCGTAAGGTCACAACCGGAACCATCTCCACACGAATCGAAACCATTACACCTGATGTTTTCCTCTATGCATAGTGAATTGTCACATACGTAACCGTAACTTGGACACGATCCTGAAAATGTTATGGATAAAATCTCAAGATATGTATTTATCAGACATAAGAAGAGCGACTTAAAAGTTATGTGTTGCAAAACCGGAAATGATCAGCTCATTGGACATGATAAAAATAAGAAACAAAAATTATATTTAGTAACAAACAAAAAAACTCACTCCATATTATCACTAGCTTTTAGTAGTATTCAATCTTTCAGTCATTGCCAATCGATGTCTTTAAAGGTCAAGGACAATTAAACATACACGGTGAGTACATGAAACTTTTGAAACTTTTAAACATGTTTCTGATACGCACCATCACTATCATAACCAAAACTTGTTACGATGATAGAGAATACGTTGGAGATAAGCTGGCTTTCCACGGGAACATACTTAATTCTGATATATCGACTGTTTACTTTAAAAACACCTGCTGGTTTTGATTTTCCGCAAATGTCATCCTCCAAACCTTAAAAACAGACAAAAACCAGTATGACACACACTTGTACACATAAAATCAAATCTCCATTTGAATTAGGCAATTGAAACGTAATATAAAGCTGCGATATAGTGTTTTTTTCTGTAAAATACGAAAATGTTGAAATGTTGTTTTTTTATTGAACAATTCCCAAATAAACATTTTTACCTTTAATCCGATCGTCCGAATTCTCACCAACGTAAAATTCAAGATGACCTTTATCACAGTCAAGGTCAAGATCTTCAAAATAGAACATTAATCTAGTGAATGAATAATACCACGTTTCAATGATTGTTTCGCAATAACCAAGCCTATTGTATGGGTAATCTGAATCTGGTTTCTCAAACAGGTCATCATCAGTGAGTTGAAGCTTTGTTTGATATATCCACTGCAAGGGAAGTCTTAGCTCCTGGTTACAAAAGTCTTCCATCCGAGCTGAAATAACACTTTTTAAAGTAACCAGGCATTTATACAACTTTAAAACAGTTTAATCAAATAGGAACAGGTCTGTAATTTATGCTGATAAAGTAAATCTGTGAATGAAATAGTTAAAAAGCTTCTTCAATTTATCTGATTGATTTAAATATATATTGAAAAAATATACTTTAACTTATTTAACATACCTTTAGTAACACCTGAATAGAAATGCGAAATTTATTCAATATAGGTGTACATTTTCTGTTTACCAGTCATTTGAAGCTAAATATATCTATGTATTACTCTTTAGGCTAGTTAATTGAATAAATAACTTACTTACGCCTAACGATCTATCTAAAACGATCAACAACGTTCCAAATAAAAGTAGTTTATTTTTTCTAAACATCACTATCATAGAAAATATCATTGTTTTTTTAGATAAAAAATTCTCTATTTACACACCATATCCCTACACAATCATCGATTTAAACCACTAGCTGTTCATGTAGTATTGCCATCTCATTTTACATAATACACATAATTATGTATAGCTGTACGAAAGGTGAAATAGGATAGTTACATGTATTTAAAGCGGCATGCCTCAAGTAATTTACGCATTGTAAACGGCATTTAAATTCAACGAAAACTACCAAAAAAAGGTCAAAATATGCACAAAAAAACCTTAATATATTGATAAATACTTTGGAATAAGTCATTAATTTAACAAAACATGTAAATTATCACTTGAATCGTTTTACTGTTCTCAAAACTTCATGGTACATCTATCTAAAGTTTAATTTTCTTGAACTTAAATCCATGCTCAAACAAAAGAAGACCTCAAACGTAGTAATAAATTTTAGTTTATGTAAATGTAAAATTTGAAATGTGTCACATAATCAAATGGATAAATTGCTAAATATAAGGCAATTCAAATTCATACTACAATAAACCCGCATTAAACACAACATTTCCTTGTACAGCAATAAATTCCCAATAACTACTCTTCAAGTTCATGTGAAAAATTATCAATTCTGCTAATGGCATTACCAAATGAACAAATCACAAGGAGCACTTTCTTCAAACTCAAAATGTTCAATTCACTACACCTCAGCTTAATTTAACACATAAAACACAGCGTAAAAGCAATAATGATGAAGAGAAAAAAAAGTTTAAAAAATGTATGTCCCATTACAAACAACAAACTTCTCCCTTGGCAAAAAATTTAATGTTACCCGTGGTAAATTCCATCATATTAACTTACATGTGTTTATTTATTTATTTTTTTTTTAGAAAAAAGGTATTAATGATAGGCGAAACGTATAAAACCTTTTAACGTTTTAGGCAGTATTACCCATTTTAAGGCGGCTCATTAATACTGTCAAATCTTTTGTTATAATGCACAGAAATCTTATGACAATATTGCCTGCAGTTTTGATCGATGTTAGTGTTAAATGTTAGTGTTAAAATTAGAAAGTTGCAAAACATTTTTATTTACATTGTTTTTAAATGGAAAGACAATGTTTTCTTATCTCCGTAAACAAAATAATTATGTCTGTAGTTTACCGAGATTTGATATCGTGGAACCATGCGTAAACGTCTCCACCTAAAGGGGAACTGTTTTACATTTGGACAAAACCCATCGGTGTAAACGTATTTGCATTGCACTGTTATAAAACATCTGAATTTTTTCAATATATCCATTAGTTGACTATTAGAAACTAGGAAACAAGTTCGTTTGGAAGAAATTTATCTTTAAAGTTTTATATTTTTCTTTTGAGATGATTTGGATAGTGCTGTGAGGACAGAGTTCTAAAATAGCCGCCTTTTATATAGTAAAGTGAGGTGTCACAAGTAGGTTGTTTTATAGCCGATGCCTTTAATGTCTTATTTACTTCGTTTATGCTCAAATTGGATGTTTTATCGTTGGTCATTTGCTAATTAAAAGTTTATATATCGTTCAATCGGGATATAATTAATTAATGTTTAACATTATGGTATTGCATGACCATTACGATCCTGGCTCATAACGATATTGACTGAAGCGTACCCGTCCTGTCGCAGTATAAAACGACTACTACTAGTACGGACGTAATGGAATGTTCGTTTCGTAAAGCTTCCCCTTGAATTTCAACAACTGCGCAGATCTAAAGAGACATTTGTCTAGGTAGCATTTTTATTCGGTTCTTCGAAAGGTCTGCAGTGTACAGCTGACAATTTCATTGCAGCCATTTTACTCGTGCGTAAAACCTTTACTTTGTGTATTATTTTAGGCGTGCTTGTAAGCACTGTTCTACAAAATTCCGTATGTATTTCCCTTCTCAGTACTTTTATTTACTTTTCTTTAAATTAATTGTTATTTTTCAAAAGATGGCGATTCCATAGGGGCTAATGTCGCAGTGGTTTTGGGTGTGAAAAATAAACTGTAGGGATTATAAGTTTAATTTAAACATATTTATTTCCTTACATTCACATATATACATATACAATACAAATCCAACATTTTTATATTCAAGTAAAGGATTAAAACAAAAGAATGAGTCTTAACAATCTTCTCCTTTTGAGTGTATTTGTTTTGTACTGTTTCAAAATGTATGACAAATCGTGAAAATAAATATTTAAAAAAAATAAAGATGCGAACATTTGTACGAAATTTATAAAGCAATCAAAAAATATGACTGAAAATTACTCATTAATGTGATGTTGTAGTTTAAATACATAATAAAGAAGCAGAATTGGTCTAGTTAAAGGAGAGAAGGTGTTTCTCACAATTACATCAGAGAAATCGTTATGTTTCAGATATGTAAATATGAACATACTTGAAAATAGTGGCATTATCCGTATCAGGGATATCTGTGTTGCCAAAGAGAAAATTTAATGACGATGAATACACCTTGTCTTTCCTTGGTGATTCCGCGTGTTTTAATCGTTATAGTTTTGGCGGTATTTATGCACGATTTTACGTGTAAGTTAAAAATGTATAGGCATTCGAGACAGTACGTTCAAGTCATCCATTTGTGAAATTTCTGGAAATATAATAAGTGTCACATATAACGAATTGTCAAAAATGAATTTATGGATTTAACATTGTCTTGGGCAGATTTTAATGTCTTCGAAGGGAGGCATATTAAAATCGCACTGTCTGTCTGTTTGTCCGACCGTTCGTTCGTCCGCCTGTATGTCTGCCCGTCTGTGAGTTCCCACTTCATTCGTGTCCGGACTGTAACTTTGTCATACATTGAGGGATTTTGAACTCGGTACAAATGTCTACCATAACAAGACGATGTGTCGCGTCCAAGAACCACGTTTCTACCTCAAAGGTCAAGGTCACGCTAGTAAATAGGTACACACATTCGTGTCCGGACTGTAACTTTGTCATGCATCATATGATTTTAGAATAACTAGGCATAAATATCTACCACATCAAGACAATGTGTCGCGTCCAAGAATGACGTCCCTACGTCAAAGGTCAAGGTCACACTAAAATTTTGCAGTTTCACATTATCACAATTAGAATTAATAGTTTACACAATCGTGTCCGGGCTGTAACTTTGTCATGCATCGAACGATTTCAGAATAACTTGGCATAAATGTCAACCACATATAGCCGATGTGTCGCGTCCAATAATCACGTCCCTACCTCATAGGTCAAGGTCACACTAACATTTTGAAGTTTCACTTTATCACAATAAGAGTTTATATGTACACACATTTGTGACCGGACTGTAACTTTGTCATGCATTAAAGGATTTTAAAATAACGGGGCATAAATGTCTACCACATCAAGACGATGTGTCGCGTCTAAAAATCACGTCCCTACCTCAAAAGTCAAGGTCACGCTACCATATTGAATTTCACTTTATCACTATTAGAGTTTATGGGTACACACAGTCTTGTCCAGACTGTATTTTTGTCATGCATCGAAGGATTTTAATATAACAAGGCATAAATATCTACCACATTAAGACGACATATGGCGACTAAAGCCCGTGTTCTACCTTCAAGGTCAAGGTCACACTTATAGTTTGAAGGTATTAATTCTCTCAAGAAGAGTTTGAAGATACACATTCATGGCCGGACTGTTACTTTGTCATGCATGGAAGAATTTTAAAATTACTTGGCATAAATGTCTACCACATCAAGACACTGTGTCACGCCTTAGGCTCATGTCCGTCTGTCCGTCCATGTGTCCCCACTTACACAACAATCATGTCCAGACTGTAACTTTGTCATGCATTTAGGAGTTTTAAAATAACTTGGCACAAATGTCATAACAACATTCTGTCGCATCCAGGAACCACGTCCCTTCTTCAAAGGTCAAGGTCACACTAATATTTTGAAGGTTTTCGCTATCACAATTAGAGATTACAATAACAATAATATAAAGACCAATTTAAAGCAATTAGTCACTTTCATTCTCTTTTTTTTTCATAATACCTGCATGCTTAAGAAATCTTTTCGGGGGCATTCGTCACTTGGGTGACAGCTCTTGTTAGTATTTTGTTTTGTCTATTTCAGATTCTTCATCTTTGTTTTTACACGGATGTAAAAAAATGAATAAATGAAGGGTAGGGAAGATCAACAATGCCATGTTTTGATTCAATCTGAAGTTATCGCATTTCATTGAATTATTGGTTTTTCGTTAGACTCAAACTAAGTGATAACAAGATATGTTTGTAAAACATGTATGCCCCCTATCGGCAGCCAATTTGTCATGTGATCAGGTTATTATGCATGACTTCTGACCCAGTGAACAAGCAATTAATAAGGGTTATCTAGTATCTACTGGTCATGACTAGTCACAAGGTAATAATTATTGTGACCCCAGGTTGTGTGCAGCAATTAAAGTTATTAAAAATCTTACCAAATAATATATACATAAATTTTATGAATCACATAGGCCTCATTAATGACAGCCAAGTTGTAATATTACATAAGACCTTCAAATGTGTATACCAAAAGCACATAAAATATCAACCAAGGCAACTTGAGTTGTTGAGTTATTGGTCAGAAACGGTCATTAAGTACAAGGTCACTATGACATTGACCCTTGACCCCAAAATCAATAGGGGTCATCTACTGGTCATGACCAATCATCATACCAAGTTTGAAGTTCCTAGGCCTAAGGGTTCTTTAGTTATTGATCGGAAACCGTTTTCACCTACAAGGTCAATGTGACCTTGACCTTTGACCCCTTGACTTCTAAATCAATAGGGGTCATCTGCTGGTCATGACCAATCATCATACCAAGTTTGAAGTTCCTAGGCCTAAGCGATCTTAAGTTGTTGATCTGAAACCGTTTTTACCTACAAGGTCAATGTGACCTTGACTTTTGACCCCTTGATCCCAAAATCAATAGGGGTCATCTGCTGGTCATGACCAATCATCATACAAAGTTTGAATTACCTAGGCCTAAGCCTTTTTTAGTTATTGATCGGAAACCGTTCTTACCTAAACGGTCAATGTGACCTTGACATTTGACCCCAAAATCGATAGGGGTCATCTGCTGGTCATGACCAATCATCATACCAAGTTTGAAATTCCTAGGCCTAAGCGTTCTTTAGTTATTGATCAGAAACCGTTTTTATCTACAAGGTCAATGTGACCTTGACCTTTGACCCATTGACCCCAATATCAATAGGGGTCATCTGCTGGTCATGACCAATCATCTTACCAAGTTTGAAGTTTCTAGGCATAAGGGTTCTTTAGTTATTGATCGGAAGCCGTTTTTACCTACAAGGTCAATGTGACCTTGACCTTTGACCCCTTGATCCCAATATCAATAGGGGTCATCTGCTGGTCATGACCAATCATCTTACCAAGTTTGAAGTCTCTAGGCCTAAGGGTTCTTTTGTTATTGATCATAAACTGTTTTTACCTACAAGGTCAATGTGACTTTGACCCCTTGACCCAAATATCAATAGGGGTCATCTGCTGGTCATGACCAATCATCTTACCAAGTTTGAAGTCTCTAGGCCTAAGGGTCCTTTGGTTATTGATCAGAAACCGTTTTTACCTACAAGGTCAACGTGACCTTGACCTTTGACCCCTTGACCCCAATATCAATAGGGGTCATCTGCTGGTCATGACCAATAATTTTACCAAGTTTGAAGTATCTAGGCCTAAGGGTTCTTTAGTTATTGATCGGAAACCGTTTTTACTTACAAGGTCAATGTGACCTTGACCTTTGACCCCTTAACCCCAAAATCAATAGGGGTCATCTGCTGGTCATGACCAATCATCTTACCAAGTTTGAAGTCTCTAGACCTAAGAGTTCTTTAGTTATTGATCGGAAGCCGTTTTTACCTACAAGGTCAATGTGACCTTGACCTTTGACCCATTGACCCCAAAATATATA